CTTCAACTCCCAGAATTCACTGGCTGGGGAATTCTGGGAGTTGAAGTCCGGACATCTTCAAGTTGCCAAGGTTGAGAAACACTGATATAGGCACACCCAGGGCATGTAAATGTCACGATTCTGTACTTGCACTGCAAAGTCTAATGCAGGTATAAATCACAGCAGCAGCACGATGAGATCAGGCACATTCCAGACACACAAATACTCATTCAGTACTCTGCAACACTATGCGGGACTTTCCAGCCAATATAGCTCTTGAGATGACAAAGTTAACTCATTCTAACTCAACCTTTTTCACGAATGAAAGTGAATATACCTGTCCCAGGATAATGTTGCAGGATCCAATCTGGGTCGGTTACTGGGACCAGAGGTTTCTTCTTCCGAGTTTTTAGACTCGTGCTGGAGTCCATCTTCAGGAAACTTCTCTCTAGCAGGAGAAGATGCTATAACTACTACAGAGAAGTTCCATGAAGATGGGCCCCAGCACGAAAGCTGGGAAGACAAAACCTCTGGTTCTGGTGGTCAATCTTTTCAGTCAACCAATGATGTGATTTACACACTTTATTGGAAGGCAGAAATCAAGCCAGCCCCTTCTAGGTAATCATATTCCATTTCTGGATCAGAGGTAACATTCTGATGCTCACATCTCTGTTTTACTTTGTCACTAAGAGAAGTAACTTTTCCCTTACCATTTTCTCCACCTCCTTTCTGCCTCCTCTCCGCCAGGGTTGGCACATGGACCAGCTGCAAGACCAGGGGCCGCCGTGTGACAATTCCAGAGCCACGCGGCAAGAAATCCCGACCGACAATGCTCTCTAGCACTGAGCTCTTCCCACTACTCTGTGGAAATAAACAGCATTACAGGTAGAAACAGAAAAGGTAGTTTCTTACCTGTGTAAAAGTTTAGAAGAACATATTACCAGCATGGTTACAGCATCTCATTTCGATTTACCTCCTTGTGTACTCACAAATTCATTCTCTTAAGATCCTCTCAAACTTGCCCGTTAATAGGGCAGGTGATATTTTCAGCTTCCACTTTACCTTTCAATTGAAATTTGCTTAGCTGACAAAAAGTTGTACTCGCTGGTTTAACCAACATTTGTCCTACCAAGAGCCGATGTGGTGCAGTGGTTAGAGTGCAATACTGCAGGATACTTCTGCTGACTGCCGGCTGCCAGCAATTTGGCAGTTCGAATCTCACCAGGCTCAAGGTTGACTCAGCCTCCCATCCTTCCCAGGTGGGTAAAATGAGGACCCAGATTGTTGGGGGGCAATAGGCTGACTCTGTAAGCCACTTAGAGAAGGCTGTAAAGTGGTATATAAATCTAAGTGGTATTGCTAATACTGCAGGATACTTCTGCTGACTGCCGGCTGCCACCAATTTGGCAGTTCGAATCTCACCAGGCTGAAGGTTGACTCCGCCTTCCATCCTTCCGAGGTGGGTAAAATGAGGACCCAGATTATTGGGGGTAGATTGTAGATTTAGTTTATTTGTATGCCGCCCTTCTCCGGGAGGGACTCAGGGTGGCGAACAACTCAAGGGGAAAAGGGGATACAA